CGGAATAATGGGATTGGGATCAATGGGATACGATTGGGATTGATGGGATCGGGGTGGGATCAATGGGATCAGGATGGGATCAATGGGATCAGGATGGGATCAATGGGATCAGGATGGGATCAGGATGGGATCAATGGGATCAGGATGGGATCAATGGGATCAGGATGGGATCAATGGGATGGGATGGGATTGACGGGATGAGGATGGGATGGGATCAGGATGGGAGAGGGATTTATGGGATTGATGGGATGGGGACAGGGATACGGGCGGGAAAGGGACGCGCACCAGGACGGGCGAGCCAAGCGAACCGGGCCAGGCCGGGCCCGCGCTGCCCCCCGGTGCCCCCGGTACCCCCCGGTGTCCCCGGTGGCCGCTCACCGTCACCCCGTAGCGCAGCGCCAGCCCCGGCAGGGTGTCCCCGGGCTGCAGCCGGTGCTCCCGCGGCCCCGCCATGGCCCGCCCGGGGCTCCCGGCCCGGGGGTCCCGGCCCGGCCCCGCCGCTCACGGGGCGCGCTCGGTCCCGGGCCCCGCCGAACCGGCGCGGCCTCGCGGCGCCTTCTGGGAGCTGTAGTTCCATCCGAGCCGTCCCCGCCGCCATTCCCGCCGAGGCTTCCCGCGGCCGAACTACAACTCCCGTCATCCCGCGGGGGCCGCGCCGAGCGCTCGCTGATTGGTCAATTCGCCCCCGCGCACTGCCCGCTGGGAAACGCTACCCGGAAGCGGCGGCGGCGGTTGCCATGGTGACCGCGGCCTAGCGCCGGCCGCCATGTCCTTTAAGCGCGACGAGAGCGACCCGGGGCCGCTCGGGGCGCTGCAGGTGGGGCCGGCACCCCCCGGGACCCCTCCCCGGGGACCCCCCGGGGACCCCCGGAACCCCCAAGCCCAGCCCCGGGCTCCCTGCGCCAGCCCCGCCTTCACCCCCGGGGCCGCGGCCTGAACCCCTCGGGTCCCCCGAGGCCTTGCCTGGCTCCTCCCAACCCTGCCCGCGGTCCCCTCGTGTCCCCTGGGGGTCCCTTTGTGTCCCCTCCCCCCCACCGCGTGTCCCCAACCCTGCCCGGGGTCCTTTCCTGTCCCTTTGTCCCCTCGGGGTCCCCCGAGTCCTTCCCCGGCCCCTCGGCCCTTCCCGGGGGTGTCCGCAGGGTCCCTTTGTGGGGGGGGACAGGGTGGGGACACTTTGGGGACACTTTGGGGATACATTGGGGTGGCACCGGGGTGACACCGCTGTCCCCAGAGGCGCCGTGTGGCCGAGCTGCTGGCCAGCGCCATCCCCGAGGACGAGGCGCTGCTGCTGCGCGATGGCAGGTGAGGCTGTCCCCAAAGTGTCCCCAAAGTGTCCCCAGGGGTGTCCCCAAACTGTCCCCAAACTGTCCCCAAACTGTCCCCAGGCTGGCGTGCTCGCTGTGTCCCCACCGGCCCGTGTGTGACACTCTGGAGACGCTGCTGCTGCACAGGGCGGGCAGGAAACACCTGGACAGTGAGTGAGGGTGGCACCTGGGACACCTGTGGCACCTGTCCTGTGTCATCTGTGTCACCTGTTCTGTGTCACCTGTGTCACCTGTCCTGTGTCATCTGTGTCACCTGTTCTGTGTCACCTGTGTCACCTGTCCTGTGTCATCTGTGTCACCTGTTCTGTGTCACCTGTGTCACGTGTGGCACCTGTGTCACCTGTCCTGTGGCACCTGTGGCACCTGTGTCATCTGTGTCACCTGTTCTGTGTCACCTGTGTCACCTGTCCTGTGGCACCTGTGGCACCTGTCCTGTGGCACCTGTGTCATCTGTGTCACCTGTTCTGTGTCACCTGTTCTGTGTCACTTGTGTCACGTGTGGCACCTGTGTCACCTGTTCTGTGGCACCTGTGTCACCCCTGTCCCCGTGTGTCTCCTGTGTCCCCGTGTCGTCTGTGTCACCTGTTCGTGTGTCCCCTGTCCCCGTGTGTCACCTGTCGCTGTGTCCCATGTGTCACCTGTCCCCCTGC